ATATTTGACGAGTTTTACCTTTACACCTCCCCTGAAATCTATAAAAAAGATGTATGGCGACTGCAGTGTTGGAATTACATACATGTAAGGTGTACTAGGCTAGTTGCTTGTGCCTATTTAAGATGGTGGTTAAGCAGAAGAATAGAAGGCAAAAGGGAGTCTGGAACAGAACAGCCCATACAGCACTGCTGTATTTGTATAGCCAACGTGAAGGTTCCAAGCAATAGTACTGCGGTGGCCCAACGTAGGTAAAGAAGTTGTTTGATCTTGTTTTTACAACTTGGTCATACTGGCAGGAGGCCTAGAGGAACGCACCTTGTCCGGAGTTCATAGTATACATGATGATTTCCAGTCGGACCGTGGAATTGGTAGATTCCTAATATGACCAAGTTGCAAAAACAAAGTCAAACAATGGAAGGAGGCCGCGACCATACCAAAGGCCACATCATCCTGCTGTTCATATCTTCGATTCACGTAGGTAAGTTTAATCCGATGTATTTACATATATTATATCCTCTTTTTACTCCTTCACTCTCATATTTTATTATTTTTTTTACTTAAACCTACTGAAAGTGTACCCATTTTGAGTGAATTTGGTGAGACATATTCACACTGTTGATTTCCTCATCCCCTCACTGTTCTGAGTGTTTATCCAAATCCATATCCGTGCTATTATAAACGTTAAGTTCTACATTTTGCCTCAAGCCTTTGATAGCACGTATCCTCCAGCCTTACTGAGTATGCCTTCAGAATCTGGATTTTCAAGCTGAATGCGAAACTAATTTGGCACTACAGATTCCCTTATTACCGTTTGGCATGTTCACAGGGAAAATCCCGTAGTAAGGCATTTACTTCACGGCCAAAGTCTGTGCTCAAACCTATTAGCCAATTATCCCTGGTCTCCACCGCATCTTGTAATTTAACCCATAATGCGAAGTCTATGACTTCTATGCCCCAGTCTCTCACAAATGTTATAGATCTACATTCACGAACGTTTCGCTGGCATCGTCAGTAAGAGGCTCCAGTTTTATCAAAAGTTAAAGCAATCCTACTGGGAAATTTTCTGTTGAATAGGATTCCCTCGCTAATCTACTACATGCAATGCAATTGAAATTAGACGAACATACAATATGATAATGATGGTTTTGCATGCTACCCTGATCAACCTCTTATCACCCCTCCTCCCCTTTGCTCCGTAAATCTTTATTCCCTATCAATATTTTCGCTTATTCTTTGTAATCTGCCTGGAAGCTTCTCTCATCACCACCACCCGCACCGCCATCATCTACTCGAGTTAGTTCTCCCGCTGAAATCCTATCTTCCCCAACTGCCACGACCCCATATGCCTATCTAAACGTTCCAGTCAGCCCAGCTGAAGCTCTTCTCACACATACTCTACCTGCAATAGGCCAGCTCCAGCTTTCCGTCTGGCGAAGTCAACTTGCGGACGAAGTGCGCGGCCTAGCTGGGCAAATGTGGCCTGGCATCTCTGGGGCCCCTCCAAGTGGTGAAGCTGCTATCACTAACACTGCTGTCGTCTCTCCTGCTTCTGCGACTACTCCTACTGGGAAGAGTTCATCTACTGGCGCTTGGAACAGCCAGGCAACCTCCAGACGGACTCCTGGGAGTCCAACAGAGCCTCTGCAATCTGCTCTTGGGACATCAGGAGCTCGAGAGTCTGTCAGCTTAAACGGCTCTGGTCAGGTGTTGGGCGATGCGAACGCGCTTCCTCCTGCAGCCTGGTCAAAAAGACTAGAGAGTAAGATCGCTTAATATATGGCCTTAGGAATATTAATTATATATTGTGATACTGAGAGATACACGATCAATTTGACATTAATTCTTGGCATAATATCAACATAATGTTTCTTTAATCTTGTAAACCATTTGCTAGGAATTGAAGTAGTGCCGGATCTTTATATTTTGGGAAATATTGTTTCACTTAGTCCATTTTTTACATGATGCTCAGTACCATACATACGTTAATTTTTACATACACTAGAATAGGCATCTATCATTGAACAAAATTCTTAGATGTTGACCAGGTTCATCATTTGCCTTTCTGCTTTGCAGAATTTTCTTACAAGCCTCTCAAGACTTGATTTCATCACTTTCACCGTCCCTGGTTTCGAACCCCTCTGGAGCTATAATCCAAGGCCAAAATAGCTCCTTAAATATACATATATGGGGAAGAGGTTAGTAAATTGGCCTCTGAAAGTTAAAAAAATTATTCGAAAGTATAAGACCTAGATGGTGTGGCCTG